TCCTCCTTGCTAAAAAAAGAGGGAGGGGGAAATAATAGCTGCAAACAGATCTCAAGCACCGCAAGCTTGATTTGCAGATCCACGTTCTGGTGGAAGTTGGGGTTCAGGGGGAGTTTTCCAGGATTTTTTGAGGATTTTTCCAGGGGTTTTCCCTGGCTTCTTGCAGAAGTGATGTCACCACTTGATTTTGTGGCAATCAAATAACACCAATTATTAATCACACCTAACCAGCTCCTCACCGGGGCTGCCTTTCCTCCCTCTTCCCATTTTTTTTCCCCACCAGTTTGGAGAGAGAACTGAAAGAGCCAGGGAAGCGCTTCCCAGGTCAGAATCCCAACTTTCCTCGCTCGGCTCTGAAATCCCAGTGGGATTCAGGCCCCTCTCGTGACATCCCAGGGAGGAAAAGCCACTTTGGGTCCCTCGTTCTGCCCCTTGCCGGGGGTTTGTGTTTGGAGCTGGCCCTGCCAGTGCTGCTCCCATGGGATATCCCGGCCTTTGGCTGCGTTTCCCTTGGGAAGAGGCTTAAAACCCTCCCTGGAGCTCTGATTCCAGGAGGGCCACTCAGCCCTGAGGCCCCCAAAACAGGGACACGTGTTTGGGGAGCAGCTCGGAGGGGAGGGGGGGATTGTGGATTAAAAAGAGGGAAAAAGCGACTTTTTAGGGGGAAAATTGTCCATGGAAAGACTCAGGGGGCACAGCCACGAGCATCCCACTCGGGATGGACACACGGGGGGCTGCCGGGCACGGAGGGTCAGGGACCCAAACCTCGTGGGGACACGAGAACCCCACGGAGCCCACGGAGCTGTGGAGGGGCGTGAGGGCGGGAACACGCTTCCCAAATCTGGGAAATCACGGGAATCGTGGAAAAACACACTTGCAGGGCCACCCCACTGGGTGTACAATCCCCACACACCCCCCAAAAACAGCCCACAGACACCTCCCCCACGCAACCAATCCCCCCCCATCTCCCCACCCACCCTCCAAACAAACAAAAAAGGCCCAAAATCAGCTGGTTCTGTTAAAAAAAAAAAAAAAAAAGGGATTTATTTCTCAGCCCAGATTCCATATTGCACGCAGGGATGAACGCTTTTCATCGGCAGGTACGAACGGCGACTTCAAATAAATAAAGGTACGGGAAATTTAAGCAGAAAACCCCTCCCCCCACCCAAAAAAAAAACCAAAAAAAACCCAAAACAAAAAAATAAAATGCTAGAAAAAGAGCTGGGAAAGGCTTTTTCCCTCCCCTGGGTGGTTATTTTTAAAGGCATGTTTTAGGCCGGGGAAAGGGCAGTTGGATGAGCCCAGACTGGGGAAACGTTTCCCCCTCCCCATCCACAGCACCCTCCCAAAATTCCTTATCCCTGGATCCAGGATTCCAGCAAGGAGAAGCACCCACCAAGTGAACATTTGGAACCCCACGGAGGGATGGGGATTTTTAATCCGGAGGGATGAGATTTGATTTTTCTTTTTTTTTCTGTTTAGTCCAGAGGGTTTAGAATTTTTTTCAATCCAGCAACACAAAAGAGAGAGCAAAAGTCCCTGAAATTTCCCCCCCCAGCCCCAAAAGAAACCCTTAAAACCGTGTTTACAAAGCACCACACCGGATCCAAGCTGAGATTTTTCCTGAGTCTAAAGCCAGCTGCGTTTTTTAAAAGCAGCACCTTTTAATAAAAGTTTTCTCTCTCTCTTTTTTTTTTTTTCAATTATTTTTACAAGATACTTTTATAGCCAAAAAAAAAAAAAAGGGGGGGGGGGGGGGGGGAAATCAGATTTTTTTTTTTTTTTTTTTTGCCTCTTTTGCACCCGTTTGGAAATAAAGCATCGTCATTAATGTCCTGTAAAGGTGCTTTTACGTCCTTTCAGCTGCCCTGGCCATGTGAGTTGATTTTTCACCCCAAACCGGAGCGGTTCGTGTCTCTGAACCGCTCCCTCCTCCCAGCTCATCGTGTCCCGAGGAGGTGTCACCTCTCCCAACCAACTCCCGCTTGGGTTTGGTAATTTTTTTTTTAAGTTCCAAACAGGCTATTTCAGCTAAGAGATGGCTTTTTCCTTTTTTTTTTTTTTTTTTTTTATTTCAATTTATTGATATTTTTATTCCATTTACTTTCCATGTGACACCAATCCCCCTCTCCAGTCTCTTATCTGAAGGTCTTTTCTTTTTTTTTTTTTTTTAATTGCTTAATTTCTTTAAACGTCTTAAAATAAAAAACAAACGGGAGGATTATTACGATTAATATTAGGATTATTATTACAAGGATTATTTTTTCTTTCCGCTGCTTGAGGAGCCGCTCAAGGTGGGTTTGCCTATAAAAGTTTTGAGGTATTTTGTATTTTATTCACAAGCCCCCCTCGCTCTATATACAGATATTTACACCTCCACGTCTGCGTGCGAGCAGGAAAATAGAAAATCTCCCCCACGTGCGCTCGCAAATCGTGGGTAAAAGGGGTGTTTTTAGGGCACCCACACGTACAAATATACACAAGAGATAAATATCCGGGGACCCGCACTCGCGGGGGTGCCGCTCCCCACCACGCACCCACTTTCCGAGGTGATTTCATCCCTTAGAAAATATTCCTGAGTTTTTCCGGGGGGGGGTTTCCTCTCTCCAGATGGAGCTGCGGAGTCTGGGGGTTGCTGGTTGTATATATTTATATATATATATTTATTTAGATTCATATATATGTTCATGTGTATATCTATATATATGAATATATAGATATTAACATTAATTCCCAGCGCGGCTCTCGGGGTTTTTCTCTCTCCCACCAGCCCGCAGAGTATTTGAAATTTTATTTTATTTTATTTTTTCCTAGAAAATACATTTTTAACCCGATCCGGATTTGAGGGAGTCTCGGGCCAAGAACGATCGCGCTCGGCAATTCCATGGAAAACGGGAGCGTTCTCCCCTCCACGCGTGGCCCCGTCCCGCTCCCGGCTCTGCCCGGGGGGGTCCGGCCGTGGGGACAGAGGGGGGGGCTCGGGGGACACGCGGGGAAACCCCCTCAGTGTGCGGGATTCCTGTGCGTGCACCCCGAGACGCTCCGCGGGGACAAACTCCCCCCAAAATCGGCTTTTCTCGCTCCTCGCGGGGTTATTTTGGGGGGTAACGGCCATAAAACCTGAATATTTCGGAGCGAGAAGGACCGACCCCCCTCCTTTGCTCAGCGGGGGAGGAGCGGGAGGGGGCGAAGTAAACAAAAAAGCACCATTAACCAAAAAAAAACCAACAAAACCTGCTAAAACCCCAAGTAAAACAAACATCGCTTTTAGCAACAATTCGCCATCTCCAAGAAAAACAGCGCCTAATAGATATAAAACACGCTCGACTTAAAAATATCTTTTTTTCTCATTTGGCTTTTTTTTTCAACATGCTGATGGAATTAAAGAAAAGAAAAAAAAAAGAAATCCAGACGGACCGTGTCTGAATTAAGTTAAATTTCTTTAAAATCCTGCGCTCGTTCTGCTCTCCCTCCCTTTCCCTTTCTAGCAAAGGACACTGCGGAGGGATTTTATTTTTCCATTTTTGTTTTCCGGGGAGGCAATTTTGGAGGGAAAAGAAAAAAAAATTAGAAATCCCCGAGCGGGCGCTGCGGGATCCCCTCGGAGGGCCGCGAATATTTTCTGTTGGGAAGAAGGAGGAGAAAAAGAAAAACACTCACTAAAAAAAAAGAAAACAAACCAGAAAAAAACCAACTCCAAAACAGCTTTGATTTGCTTCAGGTTTCCAAACCAGAGAGGACTTCAGAGAGCCCGGGGGGGGCTTTGATGCCAAAGCGGGGTGGAAATCGCATCAGAACTAGTCAGAAGAACCAGTTACAAAGCCACTGGTTTGGAAGAAAAGTTAAACTGGGATTTGATTTCCTCTGCAGAGGAGAGAGACATTCCCTCCGCATTCTTGCCCGCATTCCACTCCGGAGCTGGGGAGAGATCAAATCCTCCATCTGTACCCCATTGCTAATGTTCCTGGATCCTATTTCCCGGGCCCGTAAAGCTTTTACAGGCCTGCTACCTTTGGGCGATGCGAGTCGGGGTTATTATCCAACAAACTCCTCACTTTTTCCCCTCCTCCCTCCCCCCACTTCTCCTCCTCCTTTTTTTTTTTTTTTTAATTTAATATACGTGGAACAGTTTCAAGTGACTTCCTCTCCAAACCTCCTGGTTTCTTTTAACAAACCGAATTTCCTGGTCTTTTTAAAGTTGCTTGTTTTCTTCCTGTCGCTTAACTAGACGGAAAACCTGACATCGCTGTTAATGTCGGGATTTGGGAGAGCTGCTCCCTGTTTCGCCGGCATTGGCTCGGGCCGAGGAGGAAGGTTTCTGCTGCCTGATTTTATTTCTCTCTGCTTGTGATTATTTTTAGTTTCATGCAACGCATTTAAGGAGGAAAAGGGAGAAATTAGATCTGTTCTTTCCTCGCGTTTTTTTTTTGGCGTGAGAATGGGGTGGGGGTCGGGGTGGCGGGAGCCCCTTCCCTCCGCTCCAAGAGAATTCCCTCCGCTTCCAACCCTTTCCCTGGGTCACGAGAAGCCTGCTCGTCCCAAATCCCTCTGCTGGGAACAACCCATCGCGTTTGGCAGCGGGGCGGGGAGTGAGTGGAGTGATTTTAGGGGGTTTAGGGGGCGTCCATCGCCACCCCCTGGGTTTGATCGCGTGTTTTAGTTCCATCCTTAAACTCATCCCAAACCCAACACCGGACCCTGGCGCGTACACGGACGAAAATAAATCCCCCGCCCCCCAAACCGGACAGAGCGGGGACCCCCCGTGTCCCCCCCAGCCGGAGCCGTGCACACACTCACTCGCACCCCCCCCGGAACGCTCCCGCACCCTCCGGAGCTCACACGGCTCCTCCGGGCAGCCCCTTCCCCACCCGGGAAGCCCCGGCTCGGAGCTCGGTGGGACGGAGGGACCCGTTGCCCACCCCCGGCCCCCGGGACACCCCGGGACGCCCCGGCCCGGCCACCTCCCCCCCCCCCTCCCAGCTCTCATCTGTTGCGTGTAAACCTTTCCTCCGGGCCGTCCGCTGTCCTTAGAGATCCTCCAGGCTATAGCCCCGGAATTTGAGGCTGGGGGGCACCGGGATGGCGTTGCCCCCCAGGTGCCAGCTCCACAGCGGGTGGGTTTTGGAGAGAGCCCAGGAGTTTTTGCCCCCGAGGGAGGAGGCAGGACACAGGTCCCCATCTTCCCCCACGACCAGGGAGGGAATACAAGGGAAGTTGCCCATGAGGCTGAAGGAATTCCGAGGCGGGGTTGGCCCGGCGCTGCCGAGGCGTTTGCAGGGAGTGTTTCCCTTTTTGGCATTCCTCCTCGGAGTCTTTTGTGGCCTCCCTTTGGAGGAGCTCTGTTGCCTTTCTGCCTCAGCGCCTCTGGCAAGGCGTCTGCGCTTGGCATTCCTTTCCGAGCCATTGCCTCTCAAAGCTTTGGATGACAAGGTGCTGGGGCTCTCTGCTCTTTTGGAGCCGGGGGATTTGAGCTCTGCGCCTTTCCAGGGCTCCGGCCTCCCTCCGTGCCGCAAACTTTTCCCGTCCAGGTTGAACCCTTTGGCATAACACCACAGCTTGGATTGCCGGATCAGCCGGTCAAAGTGCTCCCGCCGGGGCTCCCCCGCCTCCTCGGGGGGCGCGGGGCCGGGGCTCCCCCCCAGCTCCGGGGGCTGCGGGGCCGAGCCCGGGGCCGCCTCTGGGGAAGGCGCCGGCCCGATTAAGGCTCCGCTTTGCCGCTCAGCCCGTTCTAACGAGGCTCTATTGTTCGAGGCATCTTTGTGCAAATCCTTCCCTTTGGCGCAGGGCTCGGCGTCCCCAAAGCCTCCCTCCTTTTGTTGCGGGTCCCCCTCGGGGGTGCTGCTCGGGGAGGGAGGGGGGGAGGAGGAGGAGGAGGAGGAAGAGGAGGAGGAAGGGGAGGCCTCCTGCTTCGCGTACAGCCCCGGCTGCGGCTGAGCCCCCGAGCCCAGGGCTGGAGCCGGGCTCAAACTTTCCAAAGTTGACGCTCGCAAAGTCCTGGCCCAGAGCTGCTGCGAGAGGAAGAGGAGGTCGGGGTCGGGGCGCAGCGCTTTGCCCACGCTCGGGGGGGGCTCGGCCAGGCGCTCCTCCCCGAGGGGCTCCCGGGGGGGCTGCGGCTGGAAGCGCGGCAGAGCCGCCTGCCTGTACCGGGTGCTCTGCACCGAGTCCCCGCTGCACAGCGAGCTGCTCTCCGACTCCGAGGAGCTGCCTTCCTCGCTGCTGCACGAGCTGTCCCCTTCCTCCTCCTCCTCCTCTTCCTCCTCCTCCTCCTCGGACGAGTCGCTGGAGGTGGCGGGGCTGGACCCGGCGAAGTCCAGGCTGGAGTCCGAGTCGCTGGAGTAGCCGGCGGAGGTGCCCTGGCGCTTGGAGCCGGGGAAGCCGGAGGAGCGGCCCTTCCTGGCGGCCGCGGGCCCCTTCTCCTGCGGGAAGAGCCCCTTGGCGCAGCAGGGCCCCCGCTTGCGCCGGCCCGCGGGGGCGAGCGCGGCCGGGAGCGCGGCGGGATGCGCGGCCGCGGGGTGCAGCAGGGCCAGGTCGCGGGGGTACCCGGCCAGCACCCCGGCGAAGAGACCCCCCCGGCCCGCCAGCCCGCGGCCCCCCCGGGGCGGGAAGGCCCTGTGGAAGGGCTGCGGGCCGGGAAGGCGGGGGCGGCCGGGGCGGCCGGGGCGGCGGGGCCGCAGCAGCCGCCGGCTCTGCAGGGCGGCAGCAGCTGGGGCCGGGGGCAGGGGAACAGCTCCCCCGGGTCCGGCAGCAGCAGCTGCTCCCTCCTCTTGCTCTTCCTTTTCCTCTTCCTCCTGCGGGGGCTGAGGCTCTTGCAGGAGGTGCAGAGAGCCTCCAGGTCCGCCTTGGAGATGAGCGAACACTTCACCGCGCGGGTGGGCACCGAGTTGATGGCCTTGAGGGTCCGGAGCTCTTTAAGATCGCAGCGCCGGCTCTTGATCTTTAAGGTTTCCATCTTCTTGCTGATGGTGGTCCTGGGGATATCCTTAAACAGGTCGCTGAGGACCTGGGCCAAAGCAAACATCTGGGTGCCATTGATCTGTAAGTATCCCAAGTTTATCCCTTCGATTTCTTGATAGCCAGCATGAAAATCCCCCGGCCTGGCTTCCCCATTGTAATCCATGGTGGCTGGAACAATTCCGAAGGTCCCTTCGCAGGTCAGGAACATTTTGCAAGGAGCATTTACTTTGTCTCTTTCAAAGGGGGCATTGAAAATAAGGACATATTTGTTTCCACTCCCTGATCACACACATCCCTTACCCTCCGGAGAGGGGGAAAGGGGAGGGGAGGGAAAAAAAAAAGAAGGAAAAAAAAAAAAAAGCCAAAGCAGCCGATCTCCCTTTCAAACGCTCCAGTCAATGGTTTGCAACATCTTCCGAACACCCAGTTCCTCCGCCTGCACCGCGGCTTGACTCCTCGTCTTCCCCCTCCCCGGCCAAAAAAAAGGAAAGAAAAATAAAGAAGTCAAACATCTCGCATCCTCCGGGCTCCCCCCGGCCAGCCCCCACCCGCGCCAGCGCACCCACCTTCCGCCTCCAAAATAATCTCTCTTTTTTTGGGGGGGGCGGAAAGGCGGGGAGGGGGATGAGGGGGCAGAGAATCAACAAGCACGGACACTCCCCAACCTCGGCCGTGCGAAGCCACTGAGATGCTTAAGCAAACAAAGCTACCGGCGAGGAAGGAGGGGGGGGGGGGCACGGAAAAATGGTGGCGGAGGTGCCGGGGAGAGGGTAGGGGGGTCCGGGCGGCGGGGGAGCCGCGGGGCTCCGTGCGGCTCCCACCTTCCCGGGCTCCGCACTCGCGGCCCAGCGGCCGCGGTCGGTATATTCCGGGAACACCCCATCGCGCCGGACCCGCCGCCCGCCCCCTGATTGGGCGCCCGGGGCCTCTGATGTCATTAAACCCCAACATTTCACACGCACCCCTCCCGCCCCAAACCCCCCACCACCACCCCCGCCCCACGAGCCCCGGGGGGGCCGCCCCGCGCAGCCCCCGCGCAGCCCCAGCCCGGGCGCACACAATGGAGCCCTCCCCGGGCTGCTCCTTCCCTGCGAAATATATAAAAATATATGTTCAAAATTACGCCGTTTTCGAGGCGACGGCAGCGCGGGTGCCTCCGCTTTGTTTCCGCGGTTTAGCTATATATATACATATATATATATAATTTTTTTCTCTCTCTCTCTCTCCACGTAGGGTTGTTTTAAGAGGTCGCTGCGCCTTCCCAAATCTGGATTCCTCTGGGATGGGTGTGTGTACGTATATATTTAATAAAGCGTGAAAGATATTCCTCTAAGCGAGTTGTTCAAAACGATTGACTCCGCGACAATTCATCCTTCAACTCGGACTGGAATGCTTATTAATTGCCAATTACTGTATTTATTAGCTGGAAGGAGCAGGGGTTGGAGCGCGGTATCAACAATAACATCGGCAAAGAAAAGCAACGTAAAGATAGTTATAGATTCCTCTTTTTTTTTTTTTTTTTTACTCACACACGGTCTTTATTCACTTCGTATCTTTTTCTTCCAAACTCTTTCTTAAAAGGAAAAAAAATGGAAAAGAAAAAAAAAAAGAGAGAAAAAAATGAGGGGGGAAAAGGAAAAAATAGGGTGAAAAGAAAAAAATATGGGGAAAAAAGGAAATTCTCTTGCATGCCCTTGCGCTGCTAAACTTTATTTCCAACTTTAAATCCCAAGATTTCTTCGGTATTTGGTAACTCTCCTGCCTTACAAACCAGGCGACGTTTTCCCAAAAAAAAACCAGGGCTTGCAGATTCCTTTTTCCAAAGGGGGAAAAGGGGAAAGGAAAAAAAGCGCCCCAAGCCCTCACCCGGCCCGCAGCTCCATTGTCCCGTCCCCTTCTCTTCGATTTCTTTATAAACCTGAAGCTACTTGAGCGGAGCGAGTGGAGCCGCGGAGGCTGGACCGAGGGATTTTAACTCTCCGCTCAGGAGGCTAATTTTGGGGAAACAGTTACCTCGGAAACCTTTCTGGGGGAAGGGAAGCTGCAGCTCTGCAGTGCACGCTGCTCCCTTTCAAGCCTCGTCTGTCTCCCACATGAAAAGTTGCTTTTAGTCTTCCTCTGCCTTTTTTTTTTTTTTTTTTTGGTGTGTGGTTCAAATGGCAAAATCGGAGTAATTTGATAATAATAATTTGTTAAACTCTATGTACAATCAACCACAAGTGATCCCGATTTAGCAACGCTCCCAGAGGAGGAGAAGCAGGAGGAGGAGGAGGAGGAGGAGGAGGAGGAGGAGGAAGCGCATTCCTGAGTGTGCGTGTAAAAAAAAATAATTAAAATAACTCCAACATCGCCTTTAATTTGGGAGCGGAGATCACCTGATTTGCTTTTACCTCCCGGCCGGCGGAGGGGAGGGGAACCCCCCGATGGGGTTTTGCTGGGAAGGGGATCCCTGTGGGGGCTTTCCCCCTTCCCAGCACCCATGGGTGCTGCCCCCCCCCCACACACCCTTGGCCTTGCTGCGCGTAGAAACCCCCCACTTTTCCAGATCCGGCTGCATTAAACCACCACATTTCACCCTCGTTTTCCACAGGCAAGAGTTTCCTGTGAGTAAAGGTCTGCCGGCCAACACAAACACCAAATTCCTCTTTGTTTGGGCAGAGGGGAGAGTGGGGGGGGGGAGAGTTCGCATCGCGATGGACGGAAAGCGGCCGCTTTCGGGGACACTGCAGCTTGTTGCGGTGGCTCCTTGCGAGGGACCACAAAAAAAAAGAAAAAAATCCCGATTTCAGCCAGCCTGGAGCTTCCCTTCGCAAACAGAATGGAGATCCCGGGGCTGCTTTTTTTTTTTTTTTGCCTTTTTTTTTTTTTTTTTTCTTCCTTTCCACATAAAGCCAGAACCATTTTACCTATAGGCTGAGCTTTGCTCCGTGCCAGACTGGAGGAGGGGAGCGTGGGGTGGAGGAAGGAGCTGGCAGGGAATATCCCCCTCCGATGAGGCTGATGCAGCCGCGGGCTTTGGGAGGGGGGGGGGTCTGGCAGAGAAAATACAAGTTGGAGCAGAGCAATAAACTCTTCCCCATCGCTTGGGGGGTTAGAGAGGAACCAGAGCCCCCTGATCGCCGGTCAGGAGGAAACAGGGCTCTGAAGGAGAATGTATGGATACGTCATTTCCCAGGAAAGCTCTGTCCGTAGGAGCTCGAGCAGGCAGGATTTGGGCAGGGGGATAAAGTTCAGTGTGGAACAGGAGTGCCTGTGCGTGGCTGTGGCTGTGGGGACACGGGCAGCTCGATGTGGGGCAATCAGATAATTTACATCCCTGTGTGTGTGTGTGATGGTGGGCAGGACACGGGCAGGTGGGTGGTGGCTCACGAGTGAAGGCGTTTGGGTTGCACCATAAATTCTCTGTGTTCCGCTGTAGGTGACCTCACTGCGGGTCCCCAGTGCCCGCACAGTGTCCCCTCCGGGTCACCTTCACCTCCCGGTTGTCAATTTACAGGTCACTGTTAGGTGGATGGTGGGTTTATACCCCTTTATGTTTATTTTTACGGGGGCTGCAGGCCTGAGATGGGAATAACCAGGGATTGGGATGTTCCGTGGGTGCCACGCCAGGGTTGGGGGCTGTGGTAGGGGACGAGGGGATGCCCCAATCCCAAGGGAGGCAGCTTTGGGAATTGGGCCTGGCCAGAAGGCCTGGCAGGGCCTGGACCTGGATCTGGATGTATCTGTGTGTTCATTGGGGTGTTTATGTGTTTACCTGAATATCCGTGTGTTTGTGGGACTGAATGTTTGTGTATCTTCTTTTTCGTACCATTTTATATTTTTATCTCGGCTCATCTGCAGGTTTGTGTATTTATGTGATTGTATAATTATATATTTATACACTTGTATTTTTGCATCTCAGCTCCCGAGGGTCGAGGGGAGTTTCCAACCCTCCTGGGCCTGAGGAGAATAACCCGGAGGAGAACCCCACAATAATCTCCACCCTGGAGACAACCCTCGTACCTGTCAGGGCTGGTTGTTCCCTCGGGAAGAGATAAAAGTTACCCGGATATGGCGATATCCCAATTCCAGGGGTCCTGGAGGCGCAGGACCCCCTTCCCCCTCCCTCTTCCCTCCCTCCCTCCGGAGGCGTGGGCGGAATTTGGGAGCGCGATCAAAGAGCGGGGGGGACTTCTCAGGTGAGGTTATTCCCGTAAACTCGTCCCCACGCGCCTCCCCGCGTGGGCTGGCTTTGCGGGAAGGTGCGGGTTTGCCTGCACGGAAGCGCGGAGGGACCCGCGGGAGGAGGAGGAGGAAGAGGGAGGAGGAGGGGAGGAGAAGGAGGGGGATTCCCGCGTGTCCGGGGGCTGCGGGAGCTCCGTGGGTTGCAGGGTGAGGGTCGACCCCGCTCCTCCCCCTCACGAGGCCGTGCAGCCCCACGGATCCCACCCGGCTTCCCGCGGGATTTCCACGTGGATCCCACGGGCTGCGGCCGGGGCTTCCCGTGGGAATTCCACGTTTTTTCCCCGTGCCTCGTTTTCTGTTGGATGCGGTGCCAGGACACCAGAAATGGAAAGAAAGCCAAAATAAATCAAAAAGGGCTCTTTTTTTTTTTTTTTTTCCTGGGGGGTGGGGAATAATTGGGGGAGCTGCTCTGGGGGGGGTTGGTTCAGGTTGAGGGGTGGGTTTGCTCAAACACCTCAGATCTGGCTCTCCCAAATTCAACACCCCCCACAGAGAGAAGGGGAGGGGAGATCCAAGTGAAAAGTGGGTGCCAGCAGGAAAAGAAGCCAGGATCCCCAGCAGGGATGAGCCCGGAATTCACAGAGCAGCAGGAACTTGGGAGGATACACCAGATTCACCAGGAGAAAATATAAGCTTAGAAATTAATTTTGGCCCAGCTGAACTCTTTCCGTTGCAAGGAATGGTTTTATTTACTACAGTGCCTCGTGAGAAACAAATCCCAGGAAAATGAGGTGGCCAAAACGATCCCTCCGTGCAGGGAATCCTAAAGAAGGGACCAACTGGCCGTGCCCTTGGAACCATTTAGGTCGGGAAAGACCTTTAAGATCGAGTCCAGCTTTTAATCTTGAAAAATAAGACAGAAATCCTGAAAAACAACCTTATCCCATGGGAAGAAGAGGGAATATCTCAGAATATTGGAAAAGGTGCCCAGGAGACACTAAATGCTCTTTCCTGGAGCAGGATGGGCCTGGTGCTCCCTGGGGAAACCCTGGGTATTTTGGGAGAGGCTGTGGCTCCTGATGGGCACTGAAGGTGTTTGGCATGGAAATATTTCCACAAATCATTTTGATGCACTGAGTTTTTTAAAGGTCTCTGGTACATTTTACTACAGGGGGGGAACTGGAGGAGCAGATCCAAACCTGTCCTGAGGGATGGACAGGTCAGGATGGGAAAAAAAACCTTCTCCTTGGGGTGATGAGGAATTTTATAACTGATCCATCTTTGTGCTGCCAGCAGCCAGGGATTGCTAAAATGCTCTCAGGTGCACTCAAAAGCAAAGATATTCCTTCTCCTTCCCGTGGGATAAGGTTATTTTTTGGGATTTCTTTCTCATTTTTCAAGATTAATAGCTGGACTCAATCTTAAAGCTCTTTTCCGACCTAAATGGTTCAATAATTT